CCCCAAAACCCCAAAACCCCAAAACCCCAAAACCCCAAAGTTTATTATTCAATTGAATCAGTTGAGACAATAAATTATCTATTGCTTGTCACCGAGGTACTCTGCTGCACAATCTTGGATATGAGTGAAGGCTTGAAGAATATGTTTCTTTTCATGTGTCAATGTTCCGACGTTCAGTCTGATGAACATCACCTAAATTGATCAGCAAAGGGATATTTATTATGCTAGTTCTTTAACTTATGACATTAACTTCGCAAATGCTTATTACCAAAGAAGTTCTAACCATTCGAGGGAGTATTTGAAAGTCTCACAGAACATGCTACTCTTTCCATAAAATTGGTTAAAGATTGTGTGTTATCATACTAAGCTAAAAGCAAGGGATTCAATGAATATGTAAAGTTTTGATATGCCAAGTTTTGACAAATTTAGGCAGGTTTCACAGAATATGTTGCTTCTGAATGCTAGGTTCTGAAAGTGTAGACAATATTTTAGCATTATTTATGTTGAAGACAGCCATAATTTTGCAAAAATTGAGAGACAAAATTTATAAAGCCAAGTATTGTAAGGATCAACTAAACAGAAATCTAGTCAGAAAATATAGCTTTTTTGTTGTTGCTTAGAATGGGAGCTATTTATGCATCCTGCTTGAATTCTTTAAAATTGATCCAGGATTTAGAATGGGATTTAGGAATAGATCATTACCTCAGAATCTTGGTCATCACTTTCTTTGTCATCAGAATATGTTGTTTGAATTGAAGAGCTAACTACAAATATCTTATTGTCCTTCATGACAAGATTGAGGAAATCGTGATTTTCATCATTCGTAAATCCCTTAAGTCTGAACATGACCAGAGGGAACTTGTTCTTGGTTTCCATCAACTCAAATCTCTCGTCTGCCGCCATAAGCTCCCTGAAGTAGTCAGCCAAGACCAGAGTGGTAGTTAAATGATCCTTAATCTCCTTCTTTCCTAAGGAAAGTAAGTGGATCATGGTCCTGATAGCTCTGTTCTTGGAAGGCCCGGTTATGAATACGTCTGATCTATAGGGTTCTGGTGAGGGCTGAGTTGAAGAGATTGGGAGTTCGTCAGAGTTAGTGGCTGATGCTGCTGATGAAGCTGTGATATTGCCTCCTGATTCTGAATTATATGACATGTATTTTGGGTAATCTTGGTGTTTTATCCACATGAATGATGTACCCATACCTCATCCAAGAGATTTATGTCCGTTTGTTGTGAACGAATCTGCTAGCTCAATATCATCAAGAACAAATCTAAGTTCTGGCAAAGCTGCGTAAACTCCTAATTGAGCTGAGTCAACATGGAGCCATACACCATACTTCTGGCATGCTTTTGAGATTTCTTTGACATTTTCAATGCTTAAAGAAGCTGTAGAGCCTAACGAAGTTATGAAAATTGTGGGAACGAGGCCATTATCAATATCTTTCTGGAACTCTCTTTCAATACTCTCTGCTTTAAGAGGAAATTCATCAACGAGGTGATCCTCCCTCTCGCATTCGATGTGGTGAAGCTTTAAGTTGCTAAACTTGATTGATCTCTCAACTGCAAGATTGCTGATAGGTGTCATGTATCCAACTTGCTTATTCACAATTGAATTAGGATAATGCTCCATCTGGATTTTATTCTTAGCAGCTAAACTTGCCAGCAAAAAAGTATGACCTGCAGTATTCGCTATCAAAGCATGAGCACCATTCTTAGGGAAGTATCACTCAGGGAGATCGAGGAGGTCTGCAACCCAATCCATTACTTTCAGTTCGACTTCGACGTTTCGCTTCTCTGTTACATCAGGTGTTAAATTAAATCCTTCATTCATCGCTGTGTTGGCCATATCTCCGTAAATCGCACTAGGAGGACTATTACCAGGAAAGAATGAGAAATACAAAGGATGCTGCCAATGAGTGGTCAAGGGTAAACACTTCTCTATGAATATTAACACATAAACACATACCAAACTCTTTGAAAAGCTCTGTAGAGCTCCTTGGCTTTGCAGTAAAAATATCCTTAAGGACTCCTTTCAGAGCTCCTTTGGGAGGATCGGCTTTGACAGGAAATTTTTCAAGATTCTCATAATAATGAGTCATGAACTTAGTTACTCCTTTCAAATCCTTTAAAGATTTTTTAAGATTGGTTGGCTTCATGATTCTTAAAATCTATGGCTATTCAATAACATATATTTTATAAGGGGTTTTGGGGTTTTGGGGTTTTGGGGTTTTGGGG